CCTGACAGCTGCTCCAGACCCCGCCCCCTGGCCATGAATGTCATCTCCCCGCCCCCCTTCGCCTCCCGCTGTGGCACTTGGCTGGCTTCTGTGCCACTCAGCCAGGCCGCTGCGTAGGAGTAAGTGGCGCAAGTGACCGTTTGGGCTCCGTGGTCCCCCAAGTGAGAGGCAGGAGGGGGAGGAGAAGAGAAAGAGAGTGGCAGAAGGTTGAGGAGAGCTCAGAGAGAGAGAGGGAGAGGCGGTAGGAGGAGGAGAAAGAGAGAGACGGAGTGAGAGACCGGAGGCTCAACAGAGAAGACCGACGTGAAGGAGAGACCTGAAAATTCCATCTTATAACGGGCTAATTGGTTAGTTGTAAATAAAATGGACAACAATAATTCATTAATCCTTTTTTTTTTGTTTCCACACATTTTTGTTCTAAGGACAATATATTCTATTCCTAAAGTTACAGGCTTCCTTACTTCTAATTCATGATAATAGCAAAAACAATAAAATATTATGGAATATGTAATACAAAAATAAGAAAACACTGAACATAAGATGAACATTTATAGGGAACTGACAAGGCTGCAAGGCAGTGTTTAACTTTTTAAAATTGATTTTGAAGTTTTTATATTAGTAACACTGTCAATTTGATATTTATAGACACGTAAATTACAACCCCAAAATGCTTGCTCCTTGGAAGTATGCACTTTTGTCTGCAAAATACAAGAAAAAAGTCCTGCCCACCTTTCAGGCCTTCAAACAGGTAACTCTTCATGTTTTCATAAGATTTGTAGTTCTGTTTGTTTATTTTCCCATTTATTTGTGTCTCATTTAGTTTTTGTTTTAGAGATGGTGCAAAGAATAGTGTGTATCTGAGATGTTCATTTTACTTGTATTTAAATTTACCAGGTGATATCCTAGCCAATATCAATGGAGTGAGCACTGAAGGTTTCAGTCACAAGCAAATGGTGGATTTAATAAAATCTTCAGGGAATTATTTAAGGTAACTAAAAGTGTTCCCCCTCAAACATTTTAATTTAATCCTTTATCACACTATGAGCAAAAGAAGAAATGTTTACTTGTTTTCCAATGTGCAGTTTGCTGTTTCTGATGTTAAGGCAAAAAGATTAAATCGAATTCTGCTAATGAAATAAGATTCACTGCTGTTCTGCCTCCAGGCAGGAACACAATAGCAACTTCAACAGTTTAGGATAAAAAGTGCAGAGTTACCATCTCCCATCAAATATGCAGAATGCAATTGCCTGAATTAGAATTGAACTCTGCTCCTGCAAACACTATTGAGATAGGCAGGTTCTTGCAGTAGATCAGCACAAAGCTGTTTGTCAAATACATTTATAGAATGATGATACACTGGAAGAATTCTCAGGCTATTACAAGACCTCCCTCAATCTCTCTATATTCCACACACTTTGATCTTTGCAGTAAGTAGTGTTAGTTCTCTTGCTTGTTGTTGATATAAAGCATATAGGAGCACCAGCTGGTCAAGACTGTTACACCTACTTCCATGGACTAGTTGGGCCTATGGTCCACCATTTTATATTTACTATTCTTTGGGTGTTGGTCAAGTACTGTCTCTTCATCCTCTCCTGCTTCTCCACACTCCTGTATTTGGAAATTTCCACAGTGGTTCAACTCCTCTGTAACACAGGAAACACATCACTCTTTAAGATAGCCAATTCAACAGAGCTAATATATCGTAACTTGCATTTCCCTTGCCCATCCTCTATATTTCACTTACTTTTTAGGTTTTAAAGCCCTTTAGGGCTCCTAATATACCTACTGCTCCTCTGCATGTTACTGCAGTACAAACATTAACTACTAGTAATAATGTAACACTCATACATGCTTAAATGGTCTTCTTACATTTCAGTCATGAAAACATTTGCTCTTTACAGATTAGAGACTGTGAATGGAGCCAGTATAGTCAGGAGAATGGAACTTGAAACCAAGCTGCAGTTACTGAAGGTAATTGAGTAGGTGATTATTAAGTGCAGTATGTGTCATGTAAATATGTTGTATGTAAAGGGTGCCAGATTGAACTGAAGTAACATATTTACCTCCAGACAATGTGGCTACATCTAGACTGGCATGATTTTTCGCAAATGCTTTTAACGGAAAAGTTTTCCGTTAAAAGCATTTGCGGAAAAGCGCGTCTAGATTGGCACAGACGCTTTTCTGCAAAAGCACGTTTTGCGGAAAAGCGTCCGTGGCCAATCTAGACGCGCTTTTCTGCAAAAAAGCCCCGTTCGCCATTTTCGCGATCGGGGCTTTTTTTCGGAAAACAGTACTGTGCTGTCTACACTAGCCCTTTTGCGCAAAAGTCTTTTGGAAAAATACTTTTGCCCGAATGGGAGCAGCATGGTATTTCCGGAAAAGCACTGATGATCTTACATGAGATCGTCAGTGCTTTTCCTGAAATTCAAGCGGCCAATGTAGACAGCTGGCAAGTTTTTCTGCAAAAGCAGATGATTTTGCGGAAAAACTTGCCAGTCTAGACACAGCCTGTATGTCATATATTTACCTGCAGAAAGGGCAATGTAAATGCAATCTCTCGCATTGCCCTGCCAAAATGCATCCAACCTTCCTGCCTCCAGTGCTGAGAGCCTAGTTCATTTCCTGCGTCTTTGACCTTGTTAGTTCTACTGCCAGCAATGGTACCAGGAGTGCTGTCAGAGAACCTCTTTGAGAAGAAAGTGTTTCTTCACAAGGGGAACCCCAAAGTACCCAGGGTCTCATCCCATCATCTGCCAACAGGTTATCCAGCTCAGGATTTTGCTCAATATGTGCAAGGAGTAGAATTGAGGAACTTTTGCTGACTCAAGATAGCCCAACGCTGTCAAATGATGATTTCAAGACTTATAGATAAGAAGGATTGACTGTGGTTTGGGCATAATGCTGCCACTTGGGGAACTGGGGTTCAATGCAGTGCTTTGCCACAGACATGTGTGTATCTTAGGCAAGTCACTTAGTCACTCTTACAGGTGCCTAACTGAAAAATGCAGCTAATAGCACTTCCCTACCTCACAGGGCTTTTGTAAAGGCACTCAAATACGAGGGTGATTAGGGCCATATAAGCCCCTAGAATATCTTGAAGAGAGAATTATGTCTATTTCTGCAAACCTATAATAATCTCTGCTGTGTCAGTAATGGGCAAGTGCTAGATATTATGACACAATCTATAATCACCTATGAGAAATGGTCTTGATTAAGTTTTTGAAACCAACTGGTAGGTGTAGGATCCTTTAATCACCACAGTACCCTTTGCTGCTCCAGCATCAACCATGTGGCAATGCTGTCATTTCATAGATAAAGGCCTCAGGGCCCTTTACAACCGTGACTCTGTTTAGATGAAACCTATTGCCAAACCCTCCATCACAAGAATGTGGTGCTATAAAAGTGAGTTAGAATTAATCCAACATGAGTACATCTGACTCCAGCTGAGTGAGCTGTGGCAGGGTTGAGCATTGGCCTGTGCCAGTTGATTTGGAGTTGTGGCTCTTGGGTGATGCGGCTCTTTACCTGCAGTATAGACGTTTCAGTTCAGGCTGAAGCTTGGGCTCTAGGGCCCTGTGATATGGGAGAGTCAGAGCTCAGGCTGCAATTTGAGTCAGAACATCTCACACCACAGTTAAACAGACCTGCAGCCCAAGCCTGGAAAGTCAGTTGACATGGGCCAGCGGCAGGTTTTTAACAGCAATGTAGCTATACCCTATGCATCAAGTTAAGTCATCAAGTGGATCCAATTAAGACACCTATGTGGTGTAGCCAAACAATTCACTCGTGTCAGCATATCTGAAGTTGAGATTGGTGTAGTTGAGAGCAGAATCTGACCCATTCTCTTTACTATTTTTCTTTTCTTTTCAATAATGCTGGACCTGATTCACCTCTCACTTACATCTGTGAAACTAATGACTTCAGTGGGACCCTCCCACTGTAGTGTAGCTGAGACCCGGATGGTGCTCACTTACTCTAGCCAATGAAAGTACTTAGCCTTTAAAGTGTTTGTAATTTAAACTGGTTAGTTTTAGTAAAGTTTTTAAAGTATCCCAGAAGTGGGTTGTAGAAAATGTCTGTATAAAACTACTAAAATACACCTAACCTCCCAATGAATTACAGCAAGTTGGGTTTGCTTTGGGTGTCTCAGAGCATGATAGTCTAGTGAACAAGATATTAGACTGGAAGTTTCCTGCTCTGCAACAGGTTTGCCGTGTGTTCTTGCGCAAGTCTCTGCACCTCCATTTCTCCTTTCTCATTATTAGACTATAAAGGCTGAGACTGTGCCTCACTCTCCTTTGGCTCCTCAGGATGCTACTATAATTCAGTGACTCTAATAATTATAATATTTATCTGGTGCTTTTTTGAAATGTTGTATAGGAGACTAAGTTCCTTTCTGTATTGTGGTGCTTTTATGCAATATTCCATGTTTTGCCCTATCCATCAGTGTTAGGAAATTTAGGCAAGTAGAGGAGATGGGGGAACTACACATGCCCAGCCATGCTGCTGACATCACATGAAGCTACCACCTGAGTTAGATCTCAGAATGGCAGCACCAACTGTGATTAAATTAGCTAAGTATGCAAGTAGCCACTGCCATATAGTCCAGAAATAAGCCAGACATTTAATTGCTGTGATTAAATGAGACTGCAGTCTTTGGTTATTATATTGACAGTCACTAGTACCACTACAGATTTCATTGCTTTTAGTTGTACAGATTGGGATAAACTGTCTGATGATTGCACACGCTTACTCACTCTCTTTTAATAGCTTTGAAAAGCATCTGAGCCTAAGGAAAACATAATAAAGTTAATGTGCTTTGCAATATACCTGTGTACATTTTGATTCAACAAATAGCAGGTGGAACAGAGCTACTTCACCATGAGGGATTTAAAACATCTCCAACTTGTTTCTGAGCAGCCAAACTTAAGTGGATTTGTTAAATATAAAATTCTTATCTCTTCTTTCCTCCCCCAGATTCAGAAATTAATCACATCCCCCTCTTTCTGCCCCTGTCCTCAATTCAATTAAAGTGGTCCTCTCTTTCCAAAATGGCTGATTCTCTTGCTGCAGTGCAGACCATATTGAAGTGCTTTATTATGGTACTAGTGGTTCTGGTCATTTTGAATATCCCATAAGCCCCCCAGCACAAAACTCAGGATCTCTAAGCTAAGTCACAGGTAGAGCAAGATTGGTGCATCTCTAACTGTATGCCCTCTTTTGAAGAAGGGAGTTAATTGTACCAACTCTAGTTTCCCAGAAGTACAAAACCGCTAGCTCACAAAATAGTTGTCATAGATCAAAGTATTGTGAGAACGTGGGCCTGGCCCACTCTTTTCATATCTGTGTGGTTATAATGGTAAGATCACTCTCCAAAGCGTAATTACAAACAGAATTAGAGAGAACAAGTGGGTGAGGTAAAATGATTTATCAGCTCACCCATCTTTTCTTTCTAATATCTTGGGACCAACACAACTACAGTAAAACCTGTGTTATTTTGCATGCGTGGAGATTAGGGTGTTCCGGTTATCTAAAAATTCCAGTTATCTGAAGGTCCCATCAACCTAGGGAAAAACAATGGACAATAATAGTAAAAACCAAGTTTTTAATATTGGTAGTTTTGTAGTGTGAGGCAGTTGGTCTCACATTTCTATTTTAGTACTTCTTAAATAAAAAACTGTTAAGCCAATCTTGGTAAATCGAGCCAGGCCTGTGCGCTTGAAGACGTGACAGTATTGTGGCTGGGGAAAATGCTGGTTAACAAAGTTTTCTTGTTAACAGAGTGCCGGATAACAAAGGTTTCACTGTACATTGCAAACAGAAGCAGCACATTTAGAGCTTAAGAATTATTTTAGTTTTTGACATAAACTGCCACATTTGTAAAAAAGTTATTTGTTCAGTACTAGGGACCAAACATGTAAATACATTGTCATCCAGATGTGTCTAACTCTATGGGCCAACAAACTGAAGAGAAGTCTAGCTAGCATCTTGGCAACAACTGATGGATGCACATCTTTTATACCAAACAAGTGCTTTCACATTTCAAGAAGGTGCCAGAAGCTGTAATTAGAGGGTGTCTGGTGTGCTGATGGTGATGATTAGAATAAGGAAAATCTTAGGTCATGTGAGATAACTATCAAAAGGTGTCTTTTGCTGCTCTTATGAGAATTCTCCCAAATTTGACCAAATTATTGGCCTCTGAAAACCACCATTTGCAAAAGCTCAGTAGTGCTTGTTAGAAGCTGCTAACATTTCCAAATACTTTTTTCTCACAGTTTCTTTTACTGCAGCAAGAAAATCTTACAATTTTCTGCTTCATAGGTACCTGAAACTCATTTTATTTTGTTTCGTTTTTTTGATCAAGCCATGAAATCAAAAAAATGAGTTAACCACTCAGCTCTAGTAATTAACAAGGGAAGAGGTCATCTAATGTGACTGCTCTTGAAACAAGTTGCAGAGGCAACAATCCACACAAATGCCTGCACACACATAGTGTTGGCAAAAGTTTGTATTTGTATTCAATATCAAGCTTCTGCAAATCAGGAAATGGTGTATCTAGCTACCTGTTTTTAGGTGCACTAAAAATTCATTTATATCATTGCAGCTAGCCCTGTGCATCCACCTGATAGGAAAATGTTACAGGTTTTACTGCTTTAATTAAAACATGTATCTGCATTTGAGCTGTGTCTAGATAAACATGCATCAGGGAGGAAGAGAAATGTTGAGTAACATCAGGGTGTAATGCCATTATAGGCATCAAAATGGTCAGGTTGTGCTGTTGAGATCCATACCATTAGTCATTGCAGAACAAGCCAAAGAAATATGTGAGCCTTGTTTTCAAGAGGTCAGCATGCACAACTGGGGACAGATTTCTAGACAAGATCGGCTCCTACTTGGTCTCTTAACAAGACAAGATTTTTAAATGTGTTAGGCTTCTGATGTACTTGGGGGGGGGGGGCATTTTTCAATATTCAGACAACAATGCCCAAAAGCTTGTGATGTGGCATGACTGGTGATTTTAATACAACAATCAGTTCTGGAAATTCTGCAAATCATCTTACCCCAAATAACAAGCTACTTTATCTCCCAGCCTCTCTTTTGGCAAATAAGTTTAACTTGATATTACTCTTGCCAGTGATTATTACATAGTTATTGCAATACAGTTATGGCTTTTGTCAAAGATGCTATTTGCTTCTACTAAGGGATGTGCAGATAGTATTCAAATATTGGTGCAGTACTCATAATTATAGTATCACCAGAAGATTTACCTAGCTTTGCTCGAGTCTTTAACTCAAATACATTTTGTTTTTCTTCATTTGAATAATTGTTCTGGGATGGGGTTGGGGACGAGGTGTTAAATATGAAGGCTGCCATGCAGAAAGAGGACAGTCCCAGCCCTCTCTCAGCCCAGTCTTTTGGGGCCAGGAGAAAAGCACCTCTCCATGGCCAATGCAGCTCCAGTGGACACAGCTAGGAGAGGAGTGCATGTCACCCAGCTGGGGGACAGACAAACAAACAGACAAACTCTCTGAAATATATAGTAGATAGTTGTCCCTTTCTCCACCCCTCTCCACTGCAGTGCCCATCTCTGGACCCTTGATGCCTCCCTCTATTGTCATTCTAGAGTGTAACCGTCCCTCCTTCCAGATTTCTCCCTTTCCGTTTTATGAAATACATTTGAATTCCAGGCACATCCCATTGTCCTGGCACAACCAAACCCTTTCCTTGCTTTAAGTTAGGGTAAGAGGAAGCTGTATACCAAATTTGGAGGTCCTAGCTCTTACCATTTAGAAGGAATTCTTGAACAAATGAACTCTGTCAGATAGATGGATGGATACAGACAGACAAGCAGACACACCAACTCTCTAAAAAAATATAGTAGATGCCTCTGAACTTTTTCATTCTCTTCTTGATAGAGGTGAACCTGGCTTCCAATAACTAGTTGTGTTCTGTCTACATTACAGAACCAGCTGGCACTCCATAATAGCATGTGTTAGGTGCATCAGCAAAAGTCAAATAAAAATTAACAGAATAATTTGTTTCTGGGAGAAACTTACTAATTTTCAAGCAGGCTCTGTTAATACTACTGGTAAGAGAACATACCTGCTTCCTAGAACTAAGCTGCAGTTTTTCTGAATATACTATTTCTCTAAACACGGTTTACATTGTGCAAGTTACTGCTAATCATCATTCACAATTTACCCTTCACAGCAAACTTTGCAGGAAAAATGGGTGGAGTTCCGATCTCTGCAATTACAGGAACAACGCTTGCTGCATGGTAAGTTTTGATTTCCTGTTAGAAAACCGCACTACGTTTCATGACTGTCACAGCTTCTTCTGCAGAAATGCTATGTGCTCAGTTGAAAGCAGCTGTTTGCTTGAGTCTGATTTTGTTTGGCTTCTTTTTCTGTATTAATGAAGGTACTGGGTGGCAACTGGGAAAACAGTTTGAAGGACTAATGAATGGGGATGCCTGTCTCCTTGGCTGGCCCAGAACAAAAGGTCATTTGTATGAATTCTAGAAAACAGAAGTAGGCATTGGTTATATCCTTTTCTCCTCTCTTCCTCACTGGCTGACCCAAGGATCAACTTTTTTCTGTTTATTGAGTGGGAAGTTACACAGCTAATACACCTTATTGGCCGCTGGTTAAGGCAGGATATTGGACCTGATAGATCAGTATTGTAAGCTGACATTATAAATTTATGGGGCTCTTTCCCATCAACCTGGCTGGGAAAAAGGCTTCCATGCCAGCAAGAAAGAATAGAGAAGGGCTGGGAAATCTAGAAGAGACAAAATAAAATGGATGATGTGCTCTCTTCAATAAGTGTGAATTACCAGTAATGTATCTCTCCAATGATATTTCAGGATGTTCAGATTACAAAATTGTAGATTATCTTTGAAACACACACTTCCCATATTCTAGTATTTATGTGATTTGCATTGGTTAATGCTACTTTCTTTTATATCTCTTTTCCAGGGGAGGTGAATGACAATTCTCTTGTTGACGCCCTGGAATCAGAAGAGTCCAATTTATTTGGTAGCTGTGCTTCACCAAAGCCTGCCTTCCCATTTAAACCCCGGTTCTCCAGCGAAAGCAGCTGTAGAAGCCAGCTGAGCTCAATGACAGTGGACAGTGAGGATAGCTTCTACCAGACCTGCGTATTTGAGGATTCTCCTCACGAGTGTCTGAGCCGGCAGTCGAGCACAGATGACGATTGTTTCTTTCCGAGGGACAATGACACTGCCATACGGAAATCGTCACTGAGGAGGAACAGAAGCATCAGTGTAGCCAGCAATGGATCCATGTCACCCTTGTGGGAAGGAGGCAGTTTCTCAAATATTTTTGGGACACTCCCAAGGAAAAATAGGAGAGGAAGTGTCCGCAAGCAGCTTTTGAAATTCATTCCAGGTCTTCACCGAGCGGTGGAAGAGGAAGAAAGTCGGGTTTGACATCTTAAGTATCTTCTTCAGTTGCAAGGGCTGTGTTCATACCCAGAGGGAAACGAAAGCAGTAATACTACGTGGTGCCTGGGATTTGGACTGACTCACCCAGCCCCAGGTTTTTCCCTGACATACCCCTACGACAGGACTGACATTATTTAAAATGCTGGGTGCTGACATTGTTCTTGACTGCAGATAGCTTACAGTGGACCCAGCTTTGTTAGGTAGGATACATTTTCAGGGACTAATTTTCATATCTGAAAAAGCTTTGCAGCATCTTCTTGTGAACCCTTGCATTGTCAAAACTGCCATCTCTGTATGGGAGTTACAGCTATTTATTTCCTGTGTTAGCCAGTCAATTAATATATACTTCGAAGAATTGTATTTAAGGGCCTTCTGCTGTTGAAATCATTGGCAAAAGTCCCTTGTGAGGAGGATCAGACCCCACATGTACAAATGTGCACATCACAGAAGAACAAAACTGAAAAGAAGTGCAGTAGACAGACGTCTGAAGGATATGTGCCTGTGCTCTGGTTCAGACTAAGGTATCTGTAGCAGAAACTAGGGACTTTTATGTAAATGCAATTCTCTTTCTAGTCTCAGAGGGGTAGTTATGTCGGTAAACTAGAGATCATGTTTCTCCAGTCAGTCACACTCAGAGAACAATATGCAAACACTTCAGGGGCAGTAGCAGTAACTCACAGGGTATTGTTGGGGCTACGTCTACACTGGCAGCTTCTTGCACAAGAACTCTTTTGCGGAAGAGTTCTTGCGCAAAAAGTCTTCCACGAGTGTGTCTGCACTGGCATGTGCTTTTGCGCAAGAGATGTGCTTTTGTGCAAGAGCATGCATGGCAGTGCAGACGCTCTCTTGCAAAGAAAGTTCTGATGGCCATTTTAACCATAGGGGCTTCTTGCGCAAGAAATTAATGTTGCCTGTCTACGCTGGCCTCTTCTGAAAAAGCTCTTGCGCAAGAGGGCTTCTTCCTGAGCTTCTTCCTGAGGTAGCATCAGAGTGCTCGTGCAAGAAGCCCTAATTTTCTACAGTACAAAGTCAGGTTACTTGCGCAAGAATGCATGGCCAGTGTAGATAGGCAGCATGTTTTTGTGCAAGAACAGCCGTTTTTGCACAAGAACGCGCCAGTGTAGACACAGACTTTTCATCTCTTCATACTAATGTTTTAACATACATACCTTTGGGCCACATGTTCTCAGACCTGTCTGATTCTCATGGCTGAAATCACTGATATGTCATGTTCAAATCTTTATCATCAGAGGGAATTTGAAATCTAGGGGCCACTTACAAATGTGCATGATTTCTCAGTTAAAAACCCAAAACTTTTCTACTATGCCAGCTCACTTAGTAATGTTGTCTGTTATTTTTACACTAGACTGGCAACAAAAGCTGAACTACTGAGCTTTTAAAACATGGGCCGAGGGGATAAACTAGGGCCACTGAACATAAATGAACTTGGGAGTCAAAATACGTCAGTTTTATAAAGCAAAAATAAAACAAAACAAAAACCCTGGTGGAGAAGAGTATAAACTGCTGTTGGCTTAGAAAAAGGGAGAGAGTGTATAAACTAAGAATGGGAGAGCTACACATTATGATTAGATGGGGGAAGTATTCATTTGAGGTATGTTCTTTAGTTGATCTGCAGGTGCATGCTAGCTCAGAAGGCGAGAGGAAGTGGCTTTCTGGTGCTGCGTGTATCAGACTGACATTAGCTTTGGTAGAAGGCCTGCCAACAGCAATTCCAAGCTCCAGGGCAGAACACGCATGCACAAACTGAGTCTGCATGGACATGGTTCACCTGACATTTGGGTGGTGCTGGGCCTGCTCTGGCTGGTGCCTGGCAAGCTGCTGGCTGTGCTACTGGGTGTGCTCCTCCAGCACAGCCCAGGCTTCCACATGCCTGCCCAACTGCCTTCGCTGCCACTGGTACCACCCTGCATGCACCTAGAATTCTGGTCTCCTGGACAATTTGAAAGGGCCCGTAGCTCCTGGCCACCACTGCTGCTACCATTGTAGTGGTGGCTGGGTACTCCCAGGCTTTCTTAAATTGCCCGAGCTCCTGGGCAATTGCTCCCTTCACCCCACCTCCATCTGGTAGCATGAGTTGGTCTTCAACTTAGCAGTGTTGATGACAACGATAATTGAAACAGTGAGCCTCAAATAAATACTCGACAGGTGTATAGAGGGAGAAGTAACATCCATTGCAATGATTTGGTAACTGAAGGTTTGGAACAAATATCAGAGGTTAGGAATGAGAAGCCAGTCTTTCAGGGATATGTGATGGGAAAAGAAAATCAAATGCACAAGGTCCTGGAAAACTACTGATATAGTCTGACTGTTGGGATATCTTGCAGTTTCCAATAGGATTTGTTTTGTTTTTGTAGAGAATACAAGGTTTCAGTCTCATCGTCAAAAACTCCTTACAAGTCAGTGTCAGGGAATCATGCCTATTTGGGATTCAAACCAATGAACAAGCTTGCTGTCTTAGGGTACGTCTAAACTATGTGGCTCCGTCGACGGAGCCATGTAGATTTGTTTGTTCAGCAAAGGGAAATGAAGCCACGATTTAAATAATCTCGGCTTCATTTAAATTTAAATGGCTGCCCCACTCTGCCGATCACCTGTTTGTCGGCAGATCGGGGCAGTCTGGATGCTCCCCTGCCGACATGGTGTGATGGGAAAAGGAAAATAAAGCCGCAATTTAAATAATCGTGGCTTCATTTAAATTTACATGGCTGCCATGCTGAGCCGACAAACAGCTGATCAGCTGTTTGTCAGCTCAGCGCAGCAGCCATTTAAATTTAAATGAAGCCGCGATTATTTAAATCGCGGCTTCATTTCGCTTTGCTGATCAGCCTAATCTATATGGCTCCATTGATGGAGACATGTAGTTTAGACACACCCTCAGAGTACGTCTACACAGCAGCGTTATTTTGGAATAACTGACATTATTCCGAAATAACATAGTGCGCGTCTACACTACAAGCTTTTATTTTGAAATAATGTTGAGCTGGAGGACTTCTTACTTCGACTCATAGTAACCCTCATTTCACATGGAGTAAAGGAAGCTGAAGGAAGAGTGTTCTTTCTTTGACTTTAGATGTGCCAAAAGCTGAATTGAGCTATTTCAACTTAAACTACACAACCGATGTAGCTGAAGTTGCGTTGCTTAATTCAACTTTAGCCCTGCTGTGTAGACGTACTCTTAAGGACTTCATAGAACCCTATATACAAATCCATAAGTATACTTATCATACTCTATAAGTATTTTGATGTACTGCTGCTGAAACAAGAGTCAGCAACAGTTTGCTGTTGTTTTTTAAAGTATTAAAGATTTCTATAGCATATGGAGTGAAGATGGAAGGGATAGTTTACGCAAGATTGATTATAGGAAATGACTTAATAAATATGGATATCGAACAGGAAGGAACTTTGTGTTTCTCAGGCATTATATGTGCAAAACACTTATTTTAGATCAAGCACAAATTAAGTTCTCTAAACGGTAACAAACCTTTTCAAATATAGCATACCTGGAAAAAGAACTATTTATTCTTTAGTTGATAAATTTGTTTCAATGGCACATCTTCCAAGATGATTAGCAATCTAACTCTTATAAGGCCAACAAGAGCTGTGAATCAATATTTCAAATAATGTTTATATTTTTTCTAAAAGGATTTAAAAGATTGTAATAGCAATTCCTCATGTGAATTTGAGGGAAGGGACATATTACATGAACATGGGAGAAGGTTTATTATGGGAAGCACATTACATATTTTATTTAATCTAACATATATGTTTGTTGTTATGCTAAAAATTGAACCCTGCTTTAACGCCCTAAATTCAATCCTTTCCCCAGTTGTGTGTCTCTGGTTCAGGGTCCAACCCTTTATCCAGCTCTGAATTTGCTGGATAGCCTTTATCTTGAGCACAACCAAAACTCTTGATTGAAATAACCCCATACCTGGATCCAATCTAACTTTTGCATCTGGAGTCCATTTCTGAGTGAAATTTTTTGCCTGTGATTTAGTGTGTTAAGATACATAGCATGTATTTTCTTAAGTTGCTTTCTTGTTTTTGTGTATATTTTCACTCATACTAATTTGTAGATGCAATATCACTAGGTTGTCTTGTGGGCAAAATTAGAGGCTTAGCTATCCAAATGAAAGTGTCTGTGGGCACAGTGATGCTCTCATGAAGGCTGGTTTGAAAATCACGGCTGTAATGCTATTCTGAGAACACATAGGGCCTGATGCTACAATTTTGTTCCCAAATTTTCAGGTTCAATTTTGCCAATGCAAATAATTGGACATGCAAAAAATTGAAGTTGCACTTGGTAACACCTAGACTTATAACAATCCCGCATATAGGTGCAGATAATCAGGCAGAGTTATTTGTACATGCAAAATTGCACCTGCCAAATTAGAAGCCATCCTTGAAAACCAGCGCTTTAAAATATAGTAAGTTCCTAAGTGAAATCCTGCACTTAAGTACATATTTTCTTTCCTAGTATGTCTACTGTATTGTAGAGTAGGATCCTGGCCTTGTTGAAGTATGTTGATTTCAACAGGGCCAAGATTTCACCCTATTTAGGAACAGAAATGCATAGCTATGCTAAATTTTACTCACAAGTATAAAATATTTTATATTAAAACCATAGAATATTGTTTCAGGAAGGGCCTGTGATTTGTGTTGAACTACACACATGTTGGGAGGTAATAAATATGACTGACACGTGAAAAGGTAGGTGTTTCATATGATAATTTGCACATATGACCCTTTTCTCCCAGTGGATCACTGAATGCTTGAAGAGACTTACCTGCATTCAGTCCATGGCTGGAGTCAAAGTCTTTTAATTTGGGCTTGATCAGTTTAACAGAACATAATGGATCTGAATTCTGTGCTGTACTTTAACAACAATAAGGAATTGGAGATAGGCCAGAACAACAAATATCAGATCCAAATGTGGAGTTCAAGTCTTTCACAGTTTGAGGTTGTTCTATTTAGAATAATCCAGCCTTCATCAGGCCTCCAAGGTTTGGGAGTGTTTGGATCTAGGGTTTTAGTTTGAGACCATTTCCATAGCAACAGATATTCTCACACTTTCCTGTTGGACCTGAAGATGAAAGTTTGTACCTTTGCACTGTAAATAGTTTGAGTGGCTTAAGGCTGATTGTGTGCACTTGGGAAGCACCCCCTTGTAACGCAAAGTGACGAGCTACTGATTAAGCATCAAGTTCTTGGTCAGATGAGAATGATTAAAAGAGAGATAGGAGGGAGAGCAGAAGGCAAGAGCAAAGGAGCCCCTTATCTGAGAGGTGAGATCTTTCTTCCTTCTGTGCTTCCTCTTCTGTTAGGTAAAAACTTGGGGAAAAGTCTTATGCTGCAGGGAACAAACCTTTATATAGCACTTGGTGTTAAACTTGCTACTGGTGTGCATGAGGGCTGTTGGCAATAAGGATTCAAAATAAGGGAACTCCACCTGTGACAATAAACAGACATTTTATTTGTGTGGAGTATATTAAATGCAATCTCTATGTCTAAACTGTAACTCTTTGTATTGAAAGAACACAGACTATGCAATAAGCCCACGGAAATTGTTTAAAATATATTTTTGTTTCTCTTCTTCCAGAATTCTTTTATAAATAAAGTTTTAAGTGAAAATATCATTCTGACTGTATTTACAAATTCCAGAAAGTTTGGAGTGGGTGGGGAGGGAGGAATGGGCTTGGTGTTTTGTTTGGGTTCCTAGAGTATGATGATAGTTTTTAATAAAAGTCTA